GATTATGGAAAAATTAATGCACCAATTATATACTCAGCAAAACAGACAAAGGACACTTAGATATTTGGTTACCATTTATTCAATACTCAAAGTACATTCTCCTGCAAAATACCAGTGCACCTGTCCAATTTTTTTGAATATTACTATTTGATAGACAGGCCTGGCTTGTTCAATATGTGCAATCAGAGATTTCACTGTCTGTGATAAAATCATAGAACCCGCGTTTTGTGGGTATTGGAAAGAGACTTGCTCTGTCAGTGGTAGCACCCTGTGAAATGGAGAGAGCTGATTTATTGTATGACTAGGTTGTTCTAAAGAAGAGCTCACTGTTGTAATGACTGTTTTGTCTCCAACGTTTACATGGCAGAGATTTGTAAACCTGTTAAACCTTCCTAAATAAATAGTTAGAGAAGATTGTGAGTGGCCGAGGAGGGAACATCTGTCCCTACAGTGGCGCTGCTATCAAAGGGCCTGGGAGAAGCTCTGTTCAGCACCTTGGAGTCTACAGGCAGAAGGTAAAATTCATTTGTCAGGGTTCCCTCCCCACTCTGAACTCGGGGGTACAGATGTGGGGACCCGCATGAAAAAAACCCTAAGCTTATTTCTACCAGCTTAGGTTTAAAACTTCCCCAAGGCACAAATTCCTTCCCCGCCCTTAGTATCGCTGCCACCGTCAAGTGATTTAAACAAACATTCAGGGAGGGCCACTTGGAGCCCTACCTCCCCCCAAATATCCCCCCAAGCTCCTACATCCCCTTTCCTGGGCTGGCTTGAGAATAATATCCTAACCAATTGGTTACAAAGTGAGCACAGATCAAACCCCCTGGGTCTTTAGGACACTGAAAAACAATCAGGTTCTTAAAAGAAGTTTATTTAGGAAAAAAAAAAAGAATCACCTCTGTAAAATCAAAATGGAAGATAACTTACAGGGTAATCAGATTCAAAACACAGAGGATTTCCCCTCTAGGCAAAACTTTAAAGTTACAAAACCAGGGTTAAACCTCCCTCTAGCACAGGGAAAATTCACACCTTGGAGTCTACAGGCAGAAAGTAAATTTCTTTCCACTAGGACACTAATGAAGCCACCCTGAGGAATGGCTTAATCTACCTCCCCTGCCCCCTCCACACATGCATGGGGCTAATCCCTGGGGTCACTGAGCAAACTATCCTTCTGGGAATTGTCACTTATGGGGTCTCTCCTTGGCCAGGAGACTCACAGCACTTGGAGCCCTGTCCCTGGAAGCACAGCACTGTTCCTCGCATGCAGAAAAGGAAATTGGAACGAATGTGGATTTGTCCCTATTCCACAGCCGCTGTGTCTGAGGCTATCGTACCCATCAAAGGGTAGAGCACAAGTCAGAGGTGCAGGGCGCCCAAATACACAAGACTCAATGCTCTTGTAAACCCATGCCACCTACCTGCAGAGATCTAGAAAGCTTCCAACGCCTCCATCTCCAGACAGAAGAAGTGCAATATCTCAAGGATCCATGCTCCTCTTTTCTGGAGTCCAAGCACATTCCTGAGGTTGGGGGCAGGGAAGTGGGGCAGGGAGGAAAGCATCCTCAGCAGAGAGGAGAGTGCCTGAAGAGAACAGTACAGCTAAGATTATTTCTGCTCGCCTTGGAAACATGAAGACAGCAGCTAACACTCACAACCCACACTCCTAACCCTTTGGCCGTAGGCGGCTTTTCCATGGGCATTCAGTCCACCATAAAGCTTATTCTTCAAAGTGACATTTGAGCAGCCCAGAGGGAATATTCAGTAATTGCTGAAATCCTTCATTATCAGTCCTTGGATTGCAAACCTAATAACAGAGGACACAGGAGAATTTGATAAGAGATTAAACCCAGAGGTACATTTGGCATCAGCTGCATTTGGAAAGAGATGGAATGTTTTCTCCACTGATCAAATCAGGAAGCCAGATAGCGTTTCCCATTTTGTATACAGACAGATCTCTCATGGGTTAGACGTGCTCTTTCATCAAAGTCTCTGTGTGCATAAAGCAAAACTATTCCTCAACCTATGTGAGCTCCATTAACTAATTTGAGCTTCTAGCATTGAGAAGGAAGCAACAACAGACGAGATGGCAAAAGAAGGCTTGTGAGCTGGCAAGTGTCAGGGATGAGGAATGCTGGAGAGCAAGAGTAAAGCAGAAAAGGAAATAATTAACCGTCATCTCACTAGTACGGTTCAAATCCCACTGCCAAGAAGCTGACTTGACCCAGGAGACTGGCCCTCTCGTTTACAGCAGGAAACTCCATACACACCATTTGAATCAGTCTCCTGCTTTTAAATCACTCCACTAAACAGCAGTTACCGATAACCCCCACCAGCCCTTCTCCTGGCTGGAGAGTGCTGGAGGTGGCAGAGATCACTGAGCTGAAAAAAGGCAGAGTCCTTCCTCCTCAGAGCAGAGTATCTTGCCAAAAGACTGAGCCTGGGGCTGGCCAGAGGATGAAGCGTTTCTGACTGGTTCCCAGGGAGCAGCTAAGGGCCAAATCTTTGCTCTCACCAGTGGGGGATATAGGCAGAGTCATTCTGAAGTGACCTCTCCTTCCAGGAGCCAAGGTGGCCAGAGCTCTGCTCTGGAGTGCATCTCCTTTCCTGGTCAGTGCCCAGAATGCATCCCTCAGGTAAGGAGGATTGTGCAGATCCTGGATGTAGAACCAGACAGAAAAACATCACAGACTAATGCAAAGCCCTTATATCTGAGTGAGACCCTAAGTCACCAGTCTCCCTGATGCTGTAGCAGAACTTGGGGGTGGGAATCTGCCACTCAGTGGATTTCCCAGGGGAGGGGTGTCTGGGATCCACCACTTAGCGGAGCTCTCTGTAGGAGTCCAGAAAAATCTCTGTGAAGCACTGCTCTCAGTCTCTTTCCAGTTGAAAGACCATGGAAACCTGGCCAGTAAATCCCTGCTATTCCCTACTGGTGCCTCCATGATCCACTTACAGCTCGGAGTCCTGCAATACAGAGTGGTGACAGAGCTATGGATTGGAATGGAAAGAGCTCTGAGTTCTAGTCTAATAGTGGAGGCTTTTAAGAACAGGTTGGATAAATACCCGTCAGGGATGCTGTCTGTTCAGCTGGTCCTGGCTCAGCACAGGGGGCTGGACATGATGAATTCTCAAAGTCCTTCAAGCCTGACATTACTATAATTCAGGATCAAGAACAATCTTCAGGACAAGGAAGGTCCTAGACTCAGGACAATGGGGCCATTCGGATCATGTCTGTTATATAATAAACCACAGGACTTTCCCATGGCTTCAGTTTATATTGTATTAAAAGCATTGTCCTCATCTCTGTCTGAGAGGGAGCCTGGGCCATTATAGCCGGGATAAGAAAGAGACAAGAGAAAACAGTTAATAAGCCCAGCTATGACATAGCTGGTATCATAGAGACTTGGTGGGATAATACGTATGAGTGGAATATTGGTATAGAAGGGTACAGCTTGCTCAGAAAGGACAGGCAAGGAAAAAAGGCAGGAGATGTTGCCTTATATATTTAAAATGTATACACTTGGACTGAGGTTGTGATGGAAATAGGAGACAGACCTGTTGAAAGCCTCTGGGTAAGGATAAAGGGTAAAAAAACAAGGGTGATGGCATGATAGGGGTCTACTACAGATCACCTAACCCGGAAGAGGAGGTGGATGAGGCACTTTTTAAACAACTAACAAAATCATCCAAAGCATAGGACTTGGTGGTTTTGGGAGACTTCAACTCCAGACATCTCTTGAGGGGGAAAAAACACAGCAGGGCACAGATTATCCAACAAGTTCTTGGAATGTATTGGAGACAATTTTTTTTATTTCAGAAGGTGGAGAAACCTACCGGGGAGAGGCTGTTCTAGATTTGATTTTGATCCATAGAGAGGAACTGGTTGAGAATTTGTAAGTGGAAGGTAGCTTGGGTGAAAGTGATCATGAAATGGCAGAGTTCGTGATTCTAAGGAATGGTAGGAGGGAAAACAGCACAATAAAGATAATGGATTTCAAGAAGGCCGACTTCAACAAACTCAGGGAATTGATAGGTGAGATCCCAGGAGAAGCAAGTCTAAGGGGAAAAACAGTTCAAGAGAGTTGGCAGATTTTCAGAGACACATTATTAAGGGCACAAGAGCAAAGTATTCCGCTGTGTAGGAAAGATAGGAAGTATGGCAAGAGACCACCCTTGCTTAACCAGGAGATCTTCAGTGACCTGAAACTCAAAAGAAAGTCCTACAAAAAATGGAAACTAGGT